AAATACTATGCTTTTCTCGCTCCACATACACCGACATAACGACATGGACCCAGACAACAGAGACCGGAGCACACGAGGGTAGTAGGCCGCAGCCAGATGTGAACCGGAATGCAGAAAGAAACTAGGAGCAACCAGAGGGGGACAGACCCCAGGAGGAAGGAATTAGCACATTCATTTAACATAATAAGCCAGGACAAGCACCACTTGGGACCGTCAGATTAATTTCTCTGGACCGAGCCAGCCGAGAAAAAACCTTGCTCCGACGGACGCACGAATGAGGGAAAAACCGGGTGTATAACCCCAAGTGGCAACCTGGCAGCATAAAAGCAGGCACAACATATCTACAACCAAGAAAGAAATGGAAGAAGATTTTTTTATTTTTTTATTTATGGATTCCCCAAAGGCCGAGGCCTAAGTCGAGGGGGTCTCCGTTCATGGCTTACTGGGAATATATCTGCAAAATTATAACATATAGATTGAGAAGAGGAAGGGTTATAACAAATGCATACTGTAGAAATCAGCCATACCATTCTTTACTATGTTATAGAAACTCTGGTAGGAATGAAACCAGCGGGTTTGAAGCGGGTGTTGGCAAAGATATTACGGACACGAGACACAAAGCAATGACTATTTTGGGTGGTTCTAATGTCAGTGGGGAAAGAATTCCAGGTGGCAGCGGTAACAAAGAGGAAGGTGGCACGCAAGTAGCTGTTCCCACTGGCAGGCGGTACAAGTTGGAGAGGGCGCCGCGCGCTGGTGGAGAGACTATAGCCCAGCTCCATAAGGACAGTGGTCTGGTGGTGGACCAGGTGATGGAGCTCCCGGAGGCACTGGATGTGTCGCCGCCAGGCCAGACTGGGCCATTGCAGGTGCGCGAACAGAGATGCCTTCGGTTCAGTAGCGGGGGGAAACACACCGTACTGTCTCAAGACACCTCGTGCCAATCTGGCCTGCAGACGCTCAAGCACCGACGCTTGGGATGCGGACAGTTGGAACTGCCACAGTGGCGAGGCGTATTCAATGGTGGGTTGGACATAACCAGTATAAAGCCGGTTTGTAACTTCCGGCGTTAGGCGGCTCGACATGTGGGCAAGTAGTACCACGCGTTGGCGAAATTTGGTGGTGATTGTTTCGATGTGGCACTGGAAGTTGAGGTGACTATCAATTTGCACGCCAAGATGTCGGTGTGTGTCGACCGTGCGCACTTCTTCCTGGTTCATTCGCAGGTGCCCGATGTTTGGAGGGTCCGGTCCGTTGGTACGTGGGGAGAACGTCATTTGGAAGGACTTCGTAGGGTTAAAGCGTCCACCTGCCGAGTCGGCCCATTTCAGGGCGGCATCCGTGTCAACTTGGAGTAGGTGACTATGATGCTGCGAAGAGGGAGTGGTAGGTGCAGCGAGATGGGCAGACATGAAGGGTGGGAGGGTGGGGACACTGGTGAGACACAAAAAGCTGACTGAAGGAGTCGGGCAAAAAGAACAGCAACAAAAAGCGAAAACATTAGATTCCATATTCGCAAGACAAATAATTTTGTTGCGCGAGAAATCATTTCTCGCCTCACTCGCTCCGCTCGGCCGGCGAGAAATAAAACTTCTCGCTCCACATACACCGACATAACGACATGGACCCAGACAACAGAGACAGGAGCACACAGAGTGAGGGTAGTAGGCCGCAGCCAGATGTGACACAGAAAAAGCATAGCGCGGTAAGAACAGCAGCGGAGGGAGGGAGAAGGTAGGAGGATGGACAAAAGAGAGAAGGAGAGACATGCTACAGCGCACAATGGAAACAAAGAGTTCAGAGTCCGAGTGACTGGGAGACCAGAAGACGATGCTCAGTGGAATCCTCCAGATAGCCATCTTTGGCGGCATCACTCCTCCAACCGCCATGCAGCTTGAAGAGCCGGAACGCAAGCTACGGCCGCAGCTGAAGCGACACCAGACCGGAGGCTGTGGAGACCCAAGCGGGCAGGGTCCTGGCCAATTCCCTGGAGTAGCAGCCGCACCTTCTCCAAAGCCCGGGAGTACGACATCGGCGTGTTGCGAATTTGATCGGGCGACCGCGAACCGCGAGATATTTTACCAAACAGAAATTGGTTCTCGCTGTGGCGGCCCTGGCGAATGAACCGGCTGAGGAGGCTGACCGGGCAGTACTCTGATGGGGAGTGGGCAATCAGTGCCTCATGCCCCTCTCGTAGCTGATCGTTCTTGCGACGCGGCACGAATATAGCGGCTTGAGTGGTCGTGAAAGTAATCTGGTGAACCCGGATCTGATGCAGTTCGTCCCAGCGCAGGAACGAAGAGAAGCCCGCCACAATGAGGGTGAGGGTCTGGAGGGTGTCCAAGTAGACGTCAGGTGTCAGAAACTGGTCGACCAGAGACTTGACCATGTCGAGTGACAGTGGCTGTTTCTTTGAGGCAGGCGTCGCGAGGAGTCGCTGGCAGCCCAGGTAGACCTGTGACACAATCGGGGAGCTAGTGACCTGGTCAAATCCTGCCTTCTCGTGTGCCCAATTGATAGCACTCATGGCGGAAACGATCGGGGACACAGTGTGCGCGGATTGTAGAAGATGCATCATATACAGAACCAGGTCGGTGGGCCTGACAGGAAGGACGGGTAGATCGTAGTGAGATGCCCAGTCCGCATAACGGCCCAATGCGCCAGAGTACTTCTTAATTGTAGAGCTCGCGCGATCAGGAAGCGCGACTGCCGGAACCATCGATGCGAGCCGCTGCAGCTCTGGGTGGGTTGAGCGGAAACAATCCTCCCAGGGTCCGTGCTGAAAGAACTCTGGAGCAAAAGATACAACAGCAGGAGAGACAGAGGGAGAACAGCAGGAAGACAGATAGAGAGAGAGAGAGAACACCGGAGAAGCACACAGTACAGTGAGGTTAGACGCCAGGGTGCAAGAGATATGTGAAGCAACCATAGGCAGTAGCCAGACAGCACCCCGGAAAATCAGGTGATCAAGGCTCCCTGTGGGAGTGGCGACTGCAATGGGGACCCGAGGCTACCTGAACATTATCGGCCAGGCCGTAACAAGAAAGGGGGATTACCCCCCGTTCCCCAATGCACTGCATACAGATTACTAGAAACCCAATTAACGATCATTAACGGTCGCCACCCGGCCTAAACAAACAGACAATGAGCTTATGCAATAGGCAGATAAAGTGTCACTCGGCCGGTCTCGTACTGGTGCACAATGCACCCGTCCAAGACGACAGATATGCTGGGCATCCTCCGCCGTCTCGCAGTGCGCAATGCACTCTTCCGGTAAGACAATTATACCAGGCCTCCACCGTCATCTCGCAGCGCACAATGCACTCTTCCAGTAAGACAGTTATACTGGGAATCCTCCGCCGTCCCGCAGTGCGCGATGCACTCTTCCAGTAAGACAGTTATACTGGGAACCCTCCGCCGTCTCGCAGTACGCAATGCACTCTTCCAGTAAGACAATTATACTGGGAATCCTCCGCCATCACGCAATGCACAATGCATTCTTCCAGTAAGACAGTTATACTGGGAATCCTCCGCCATCACGCAATGCACAATGCATTCTTCCAGTAAGACAGTTATACTGGGATTCCTTCGTCAACGCACAGTGCGCCAGGCGTACCTTCAGGAAGACGGGTGTACTGGGGCAATCTGAAATCTCACAGAGCACCATGTAGGCACCTAGACAGTTGTACAGATACTCATCCTCTAGTACACCCTGTAACAATATGCATCCAGCTGACCAAGCAGATTTAATTGCGGACTATCTCTACCAAGGCCCGCTCACTCGGGTGCAAGCCCAAGTTGAGACCATGCACACACTGTAACCCACCCTTCCCCATGGGGAAATGCCCAGGGCAATGAGGATCGGTGTCGGCCGGTGTTTATAAGGATCACTACATTTATTCACGAATAATCCAGAGAACGACAAAGTGCACGGGGGAGGGGAGGTGAACTTATGGCATCCCGCCAGTACTAGTAACCGTAAACCAAAGAGCAAGTAAAACAATTCAGAACTAAAGCATGCGTGATGACAAACAGAGTATCGAGGACAGTTCAGCTGGGCATCAGCAAAGGGGCACAGGGACCCGTTGGCGTTGGTGCTTGCCGCAGGCGCAGATTCTGATGGCGATTACTTCACAACGAGGAATCTTGGAGGTGAAGAAATTCCGCTGGCAGTGGCCGGATTTGAACATGTCCTGGTGTGGTTGCAGAAGCAAAGTGTCACGGACGAAGGCGCGAAAGATGCGGGTGTTATCGACCAACAGAGGCCACCATATTGCCGACTGCCAAAACGGGATCACAAGAGTGCCATCGGCTTTGGAGAACAGGAAGTGGTGGATGCAGCGCGCGATCAGGTAGATCGGTGGGCAGACCCAGTTTGTTTCTCCCGACCACAAGACGGTAAAGGCGTCCACCGTCACGCAAGTTGGGTTCCACCACCTAGAACAGAAGCGTGGGAGTTGGTTGTCCTCTGGAGAGGCAAAGCGATCAATGGTGTGGGGCCCCACAGCGAATTAATACGGCAAAAGATGGCGGAGGAAAGCATCCAGTCGTCAAGGTCGTCCAGTTTCGAAAGGTAGTCTGCACGATCGTTCTCTGACCGCGTTATCCACTCTGCCGAAATCTGGATACTTTGTTGAAGACAAAATTGGAAAATGGCGGTCGCGACATCATAGAGGTGGGGTGTAACAGTTCCCTGTTAGCG